GGCAGAAACACCGGGAGAGGAGGAGGAGGAGGCATGGGAGTGCGCGGAAAAGTCAGAATATCGAGCTCTGGCTGGAATGGGCAGACGCAACGCTAGCTGGCTTCTTCTCAATCTTCGAACGCGCTGGAAGAGAGAGTAGAAACAAAGGCAGCTAACAATTGCTACCCGCATATATTGCACCAGCGCGTGGCTTAATCTGGCGTCTGCTTCGCACGAGAGCGAATGCGACGCACGATAGAGGTCAGATCGGGCCGGAATTTTACGCCCGACCCGTCCGGCCCGATAAAAGTCATAGTCCGAACCCGCGGCCCGAGCTCGAGTGGACTTTCTAAACGTAAGCCCGAACCCGGCCCGATTCACGCCGAACCAGACCCGAGCTTGGCCCGAGCTCGACTGTGTTTTCTATCAGTTCTACTTTGGTTTTACACGACACCGTTCATATTGAACGAAAATTTCCAATCTCGGAAGTCAAACACATTTGTTTCGAAGGTCTGCCAGCCATTTTATTTACTCGTGCTGTTTTTAGAACGACGATGCGCGTTTACGAAGCCCCTATAAAACGGAAGACGGGGTAGGATGGAGTCGAGAATGGGACTATACTTGAAATATGCGACGCGCACATAAATAGCACTTAACGTCCCGCTTATTTGTAGCAGTGCAACGCGCACGTTGCATTTTTCGCTATGACACTTCTGCACCTCGAAGGGCTTCTTGACTCCTGCGTGTTCTGCAAGAAAGTATATGCGCACCGGTTTTTCTCAACGCACACGCGATGCATCCCGGTGCCGCGGAGTCATCGATCTGTCTTAGACCAGTAATTCTCAACCACTGATGCTTCAGGGACCGCTTGTGGATAGGCGGGACTGGTGGATCCGTGCTGTGGAGAGGAGGAAATATCCGGGGTAATTATGTTTATGAAGGGATATAAAGGAATATTATATAGCTAAGTGCTCGTGTGAGCTGGACTCTTTCTCATTTGCGTATACGAAGAAAAAAAAAATTACTCAAAGGTGTCACGCCTGTTTTCTATAAGAGAAAAAAAAAATCAAATTTATTGCCAGGTTCATTGATGAGCGAGTCTTCCTGGATCCTAGAAATGGTTTCGCAGGGCATTTAGTGTTTTAAAACACACTTTTCGCAATACTTCATTTGATTTTCGAATATAAAATTAATATTTACCCCAATTTCAAAAATTTTGGCAAGGTCGGGTCGTCGGATCCCGATGCCTCCACCTGGGTCCGATTCGATCGCCCGACGTAGTTCGGCATAAATCGGCCCGAACCCTACCAGTGCTTCACATTGTAACCCGAGCCCGACCCGACTGTCGGGTCGGGCTTTCGGGCTAGCCGAGCATATAGCGCGAAACACATGTACGACGTAGCCGTCCGATCCGACGTGCGAACTGCCGGAATGACCTTCGGGAGCGAGAGTTTTCGTAGCACCGGAGAGCGTGAAAAACCCTCGCCTCCGACCGTCGTATTGCCTGATCGGACGCCGGATCGGACGGTTTGGTCGTACATGTGTTTCGTGCTTATCTCTAACGCACGGTACGCGCTCGCTCAGCACTGGAAACTCCTCGACAACGTGCACCTTTGAGGCTTTGTCTATTGCACTACAGGCAGCGTCCCGAGAATGCCTAATAGCTGACTTCTGTACAGATGCCGCAGTAACACAACGATGAATATCCAGGTCATGGCATATATCTAGGCCAGCTGACCGAAAAAAAAAAAAAAAAAAAAGCACCTCCGTGAATAAGAGGCACTGCAAAAGAATCACTCGTGTCACACACATACAAAAAAAAAAAAAGAAGTTTTGTTGGGGAATTGCGAATAATCCAAAAGTAACCTTTCTTGACTGTCTGCCTTGTGCTCTCAGTGCATTTCGTTTTAAAGGATAACAAAGGTGGCTGCTAATTCATTATTATTATTATATGTTCTTTATATACCCACTATGGCTTTTGAAGTAAAGGGTGGCAACACCAGGCCTCACAAAATGTTTACGTTTTGTTCTTCTCTCTTTCTTTTCTTTTTATGGCGGCAGTTTGCATCGGGCTAAAGGCCAAAAACCGTCGAACTTTCGCCTTGCGTCACGGAGGAGATGTGACGAGAGTGCTTTCGCCACTACACACCCAAGTCCGCGAAAAAGCCCCCCCCCCCCCCCCCCCCTTTTTTTTTTTTTTTTTTTCCCGCTTTTTCACTAACGCTGGGTTGCGAAAGTGACAAAAATCTAAGAAACCGCGTAAACGCTTCACGTTTTCTTTTTCTTGCTGCAGCAGTTTGTTGTAATTTAATTTCATCATGTTCTGTTGTTTTCCCGGTATATAATCAGTGCAAAGGGCTAGTGACCCAACTATTAATGAGATCATAAAGCAATTACGTTCCGCGGCCGATAGCTACACAGCGTCAACGTTCTTGTGGGGCGTTGTCACGGCAGTAGCTTACACAGTTGTCCGACGTTGGCAGAGCTCTGCGGGCAGAAGCTGCGAGTTTCGAGGTTAATCCAACCCGAGCCCGGCCCGACTCACGCCGAATCAGACCCGACCTTGGTCCGAGCCCGACTGTGTTTTCTATCAGTTCTACCTTTATTTTACATGACACAGTTCATATTGAACGAGAAGTTCCCATCTTGGAAGTTAAACGCATTTGTTTCAAAGGTCTGCACAGCCATTTTATTCACTCGGGCTGTTTCAAGAACGATGGTGCGTGTTTCAAAAGCCCCTTTGAACGCAATACGGGGTAGGATAAAGTTCAGAATGGGATTATACTTGAAATATGCGACGTGCTCATAAATAGCACTTAAAGGAGCCCTGCAATCCTATTTAAGCGTCTACCTTTTTTCCGGCTTCCAAGTCTCTCGTGGTTCGGGCAACCCTGCGGGCACGGAGAGAGTAACTAAATATCAGTGCGTCGGGTCGGGCTTTCGAGCTAGCCCGAGCATATCTCTAACGAGCTGTACGCGATCGCTCAGCACTCGAAACTACGCAAACCTCGCCACCGTTCACCTTTGAGGCTTTGTCTGTTACGCTACAGGCAGCGTCCCGAAAATACATAATAGCTGCGCTTCTGTTAAAGGCCCACGACCAGGCTCGAGATTCTGCAAGGCAGAAGATCCTCCTCACCGAGGTGGAGGAGGAGACAGGCAACCATGGACAGGGAGAAGGGGGGAGGAGGAAGCGGGGGAAAAGTGGAAAGCGCGTACTGGTCGTCGTTCTTTAAAATACCCATAAGCTGTGCAAGCGTTCAGTCCAGTGACTAAGCACCTTTCGCCGGGGTGATCAGCACCGAGATGGTCCGAGTGCAGCCGACACTACGAGCAAATCGGATCGATCGTGCGGCGCCAAAAGTGCAACGTGACGGCCTACGTCACCTTTCTGCGCCTCTGTGTTGTCGCCCTGGTCAATCAGATCAAGCGCAGACTTGACATGTCGTGCTCTCCAAATACACGTTGTTCTTATGTTTTTTTCGCGGCCCATTTGTTTGCTCCAATTTTGTTGCAAGATGGAAAAAATGAATGGACTCCAACTTGCGCGGCGACCTTAGGCTCCGCATGCTCGCATTTTCTGTTTAGGGAAAGCGAATTTGTGGTCGCCGTGGATTCCAGGCATCTAACTGCTAGTGATTCCACTCGATTCGGCGCAATTTGCGTTTATTGCTATCCCGATTACTAGTAAAATCACACTTCCAGTGCATAAAGTAGGCGATATAATCGCGCGAACAAGAATAAGCGACGGCGCGGGGCTTCAGAACACAACAAACGTATTTTACCATTGCTGGATCGCCTGCCCACGCCAGCCCTCCAGCATATGAGACCATTACTATAATTCATCTGGAAGACTCCGAGAAAGCTGCAATTTTTATTAAGCCTTCCTTACAGCTGAACTGATGTTGTGTTGACCACAAGATGTGAATTTTCCCGCTAAATTTAGCGGGGAAACTGAGTTGACGTGTCGGTCACGTGCCATCAGTTTCCCTAAGGTGTCCAGGTCACGCGACGCCACTTTCCCGCCAAATTTAGCCGAGTGTTGGCGTATGGGGCACGTGACGTCAGCTTTTCCCGCCAAAATTGAGCGGGTAAGACTGAATTAGTCCGTCATGTCATCAATTTTCCCTCTAAATTTAGCTGAGAAACTGAATTCATGTATAGGCCTCGTGATATCGATTTCCCCGCCAAATTTAGCACGGTCGGACAAAACTTTGGGATTGGGGGGCTTCCGTTAAAAATCATTTCGTGCTTTGAAAAGCGCACGTACGGGCGCATTCGCTGCGCGCGATTGGTTGGTTCCGTCGGCGATAGCGAAAGCCCAAAGACGATAACGAGCGCCGTGACGATGCACATTTGGATCTGCTCCACATGGACCGTAGCGTCGGCTGCGCTAGGACTTCGAGTGAACCGGAGTACAGGGTTCCCACCCAGAAATGTAGGTTTCTTTTTTCTTACCTCAAAACTAAGTTATGCATTACTGAACACTCCTTCTCCGCTTATGTGTAGCCCAATAGACCAACTCAATTCACCGACGTCACGCCACTGCGGTGGCGCTGCTGTCGGTACTGCGCACGCGCAGCGCCCACACGCGGTGTGGGCAAGGCGGGCTTGTTTCCAACACCGTGTTGGTGTATAGCGGCGCCAAAGTTTCGGAACCGTTACTTATCAAAAAAGATATATCCAATTTTTTTTTTCTTTTAGCGGGAAAATGGCGGTTGATAGATACACGCAGTTGAATGGCGCCAGTCACCGAAACCGGGACTCCATTTTCCCATTGAAATGTTCAGAAAATCGCCTATAACTTTTGACCGAGATAACGGCTCGAACCGCTAGGACTACATTTTGGCGGAGAATGGACGTTCGGTAACGCGTAGTTTATTTTTGCAGAAAAAAAAGAAAAAGAAAGAAACCTGAATTTTATTGCTCTTCTGACATCTTTTTTTTTTTATACTTTCGGTTAATTTTTGCACCATTTCCAGCGCAGAACCGCAACAAAATAATGCGCACACAGACACAGCTTCACTAATGTACATCCACTTTAATCGTGAAAACGGTTTCTTTCTCCTGCGTCTTTACACGTCCATTGCATAATAACGATCAACGAGTCATTCCGTCTGCCACCACCCAACGGTTCTCGCGCACGGCACGTATACAATACGGCGATGGGGTCGTAAAAACGGCGCTGCAGCTGTAAAAACAAAAATGAAAAAAAAAAAAAAATGCACTGCAGTAAAGCGGTAGTAAATGACGCCCCCTTTGGGTTTCGTCGCCCACGACTCGCAGCTGCTTCATATATTATGGCACTCTACTTTGAGTACAATCTTTTTTTATTTTTTTGGCATTCACCACCGGAGTGCTCCAACACAATAAATGGATGTTGGGAGAGTGGGGAGAGGGTAAGGAACAGTCACTCTGCCCGAGCGAAAATGCACCAGGTTCATGTGGCTTTCCCGGTCAAGACATACCAGAAGGTGACTTTCCAGAGAATCATCTTGGAGACACTGCCTTTGCGAACAACGACCTACCCGACAATGATTATCTGGACGATGACCTTCCAGGGGATCACTTTTCAGAAGGTGGCCATGCCAGGAACCTACTAGAGAGTTGCAATCGGGACAATGACTCTATAAAGGATCCCCTCCTGGATGGTGACCTTCCAGACAATAAGGTCTGCCAAATGGCAAACATTTACCTTATGGGTGATGACCTACCAAACAATGATTATCTGGACGATGACCTTCCACACGCTGACCTTTCAAAAGGTGGCCATGCCAAGAACCTACCACAGTAGTAATCTGGACGATGACCCTTCAGAGGATCAACTTACGGAGGGCGACTTTCCAGACAGACATCTGGCAGACACTAACCTCGTGGGGCACACAATGATTTTAGGAGCAATGAGCTTCCCTGGGATGACCTTTCAGATGGTGGCCAAGCTGAGAACCTACACGACAGTGGTAATCCGGATGAGGACTTTCCATGGGATCACTGTACAGGCGGCGACACTGCTGATGATAACCCACCAAATGCAGATCAGCCAGATGCTTAGGATCGAGATGCTGTCCTCCCAGGTAACAACTATCAGGATAACAACTATCCATCCAGACAATGACCTTCCAGGATGTGGCCTTCCAAGTTAGCACTGCTCAGGTAAAGATCATACAAGTCACAAGTTCTGCTCAGAGCCTGACCATGGAACTGTTACAGGTTGTGACCATTCACAATGGAAACAGAACACTTTTTGAAATAAAAAATACAAATGCTCAATTCTAAAAAAAAAAAAAAAATAGAAAAAAAAAAGATTGAACATGGCAAGATTATATGCGGACACTAGGTCGAAGATCACGGTCACATGCCCAGGGTCGACCGACGAAATGGCCGCTGTACATCCTTGCCACTTGCACAGAGCCCTAAGGAGAGAAAAAGGAATGGATTATTATCATGGAACTGTGATAGCACATGTGACAAGTTGGCTTAGCTGGTACCTAAAACTAGGCAAGCAGCCATTTAAACAGTGAGTGTATACATACGAGAAAATTATTTGAACCTATTACGTCAACTGAAAATGATTTATTGCCCACTTCCAGCTTGGCTGAGATAGATAAGATACTGTAGAGCATTTCTCACCAGAAAAACAAGGTATTATGAGAGCTGAGGAATCAGAAATGTCAGACAACTTATAAATGTGCTCTCTGGTATGCTAAGACTATGGGTGGATATGGAGTTACTGAACATTGTTACACAGGTAAAACATACGTAACCTATTAACAATAATGTTAATTAATAGCAACCTACAATAACGTCCATAAAATATTCCTGCTAACTGTATGTTTGCACCTCGTAAAGATGGGACATGCGAAAAAACAAGCAGATTTCTAGAACACATAAAAAAAAAAAAAAACTTCCCCATTTGTCGAAATTGATAGTTCTAGCAGCATTTTAGATTTTCTCATATGTACCAAACATCCCCCCGGCCCGTCCAAGAGAGTCACTTCCTATTCATATCAATCTACTGACACCACCCACCCGGACGTAAATTTGTTGAGTCGCCTTAATAAAGTAACTTACCATCTCTTCACGTTTTTAAAGGTACTGTTTCCTTTAAACATAAGTGAGTGGTTTCTTCAATAAGGTAGCCAATATCTGCATCAAGATACCTCTTTTTGTTTGTTTCTATAGCAGCACTGAGCACTCCTGTTTCCAAATTTTGTGAAAGTTCTGCGGCACCAGAGAAATAAAAAAGTTACGACAATTATCAAAACTGCAGTATCTCAAGATGTTATCCAAAGGGGCTTACATACAATTAAGAAAAGGTTGCATTTGTCCAATATTTATAGGTCTGAACTTGTCCTTCACATTCAAAGTTTTTGTTTTCTTTTTTTTCTCGTAAAAGCACAGACAATTTTACATTTTACCGTGACAACCTTCCGAGCACACTGGCCAAAAGCCAAAAGTCAGCTGACCTTGGGGAAGTGCCGGACAACTCATGTCATATTGCAGGAAGGCAGATTTCATATAATCTTTCTATTCCTATGGAACTCTACCATCATTTTTCATTAATACCAAAGAAATAATGGCAGTGCTTCTGCATACATAAGAACACAATGGTGTGCCCCAGGAAGATGAACTATGTGACAAAAATGCATGCCGAATGCCTTTATAAGCAATCCTTTACACCTCACCTTCCTTTTTAAACATTATCAAGACCCAACTTACTTGCACAGAAGGTTATCTCTGCACTTAAGATTACAATGTCTTGAAGATTTTTGTGTCACCAATTCAAAGCTCAAGCATACACACATTGCACCAGGCAACTAATAAATGTAATAATCACAAAGGCAAAAACTGTCTTGCATTTTTATGATTCAGAATACCGGGAACCCACAATGAACACGCATTAAATGCCGTAAACTCATGCCTTGATGGTTTGTGTCAGACGGATTTCCCTAATCGCTGATACAGAGATATTTTGAAGCGGCATTTTTTCTGAACCCACTGTATTCTTAAGCCTATTTCATTTGCTTAAATAATAAGTGACGCACAAATCAATAAAACCCTAATACCAACAGCAAAAAATGAATTTTCTATTGATTCCCAAGTTTAAATTTGAATAGAGACCCAGGGCCTACTGCAAAATCATGCAAAATATTGAACCCAACCACAGAAAGCCTTACATGCATAACTTATGCAAACTATGGATTCAAAGAACCGCATAAAGCCGAAATAATGCAAATAATTCATTGAAAAATACAGATATGTACGAACATATGCAATCATCAATAATTTAAACAATGCATTGAATGAATCGCAGAAATATGCTAAATGATGTCCCAACAAATGCTTACCTGATCCAAACCATTAATCTTTGCAAAGATATCATGCCAACTGCCACATGCATCAAAGAAAATAAAACAGACGAATCATAATCTCTTTATACAGGATCATTAAGACTGGCGTGCATAGTAAAGCAAGATCCCAATTATAAATGTGCTCCCCAGCCCTCATCGCAGGGCTAGTCATCAAGCTCTTGGGGAACATCAACACAATCACCGGACTGTGCCATCAATTAAGTCGTAATCGTCTGCAAACAACTGCTGCCGGGCGACTGGGAAAATGGCTTTGTTCGTCAGATATTGCTTGCTTAGTGCCAAACTTTATTAAGGTAAGTTATTAACTGGACTTCGCCGTCGCGAGGAATGACGGCTCCTGCATCAAGAAGGGCCCCTAGATCAAACAGCGTTCAGACCGCTGAGCAAGCAAAACAACTCAATGCACAAGTCCTTGTGCTCAAAAGAAAATGCAGGTGGAAAAAATTTTGCAAAAAATTATGATTTTGGGTTTTATGGTGTTTTAATATTTTTGAATCTTTATAATTGATGTATAAAAATAATTAGTGCCAGTTATGATCGCAAAACTAGCCAAATACGCATTTCAAGACCTCCAGGCAACCCAGAACGGCAGGAATTTGAGCCATTTTTCTGTGTGGCTCTTCAAGTCGTCCATTATCATATTTACGTAGACAGGTAGGCACAACCGTCTCCTCTCCATCGCTGTCTTCTGTAGTTTCAATTTCACATAAAAACTTATTAACAAAATATTTTTTTCTGCACAGCGAAAATGTACAGCTACACATCATGGTAACATTCATGAGTTTTTCTTTTTATGCAATTTTGAGGCATCTTCACAGTTTCTGCACAGAATATTTCTTCTTAATGTTGTCCCATCACCAACAAATTTGGCATGCACATACTTCAGAATATGTAGAATGCAACTATATAGGTTTGGTGAGAATGTATATTTTTATTATATTTATGAAAACAACTAAGAAGCTTCGTGTGTTCGTCCGTTTTTTTATCGTTCCCCATCTCAGGGTTTACAAGATGACGATTGATTACCAGCTTGCCTGCACTCTCTCACTGCTTACAATTAAGAAGCTTTTTTTTAGACCCTTAAAATGTCATTTTTGCTACGTGAAAAAAGCATCACACACATTATTTTTGATGGTCATTGCACTTAGTGGTTTAATATGAGTGAATCAGCTTATTTTACTAGGCTTTTCTTAGTGTATTGCCATGCCTCACGTGTGCACAAGAACATGGCTTTTTCTTCATGTACATTGCATCGAGAACCTACCAAGACAAGCTATATCAAATCCAACACTAGAATTATAGAGAGGAGACTAAGTACCATAAACTGTACAAATTTCATTTTAACATCGTCAATAAAAAACAATAAAAAAATTCAAACAGGAGCATGTCTCCTTAACTTTCTGTTACCTGATCAGAGCTCTGAGCACTATTCATTGCGGGACCACGCAACAAACAGTTCAAGTGACCATTGCACTATACGGATAAATGCATCGCAACACTTCTAAGGAGCACAATGGTGATTTGTATACAACAGGCACGAGAAGATGGCTTCCATCTCTCGAATATTTGCGACTCCAATGCTCTATAGATGGCGGGGCGGTAGTTGAAAAATGGAAGAAATGGAAATATACTTTTCAGAATTTTTCGTGCACCTGCTTTGCTGCCGCTGGCCAGTGTGTTTGAATTAATGTATTTGTCTACAAATGTGAAGCAATCAGGGCAGGAGCATGTCACAGTTGACGGAGATGTTGATGTAACTAGAAAAATGAACACATTCATTGTTAAAAAGTGCGAAAACCTGTTTCATGCTAATTTTTACAAGTGGCAGAGCACTTTTTTGGGTGCCTGCCAAGTCATTGTGAGTGGCAAATGATCATTTTAGCCGAGGTCACACTGGTCATACATTATACGTAGGGTTTGGAGTTTTCGGTTTTAACCGATAAAAACAGATAAAAATACGCCGAATCCATTTTCGGAAATTCGGTTTTAACCGAAAAAGGTCAGTTTTTAGGATCGGCACTTCCGATTTAAACCAATAAAAACCGATAAAAGTATGTCGATTCCATTTTTTAAAATTCAGTTTTAACCGGAAAAGGTCACTTTGACCTTCATTCGTACCGCAGAGCCGTGGCGAAAAAGTGGAACGACAGTGTCTATCGAAATGAGTCCGAATGTATGGGATACACGGATGCCATCACGACGTTTTGGTTTAATGTACGCATCATCAATCGAAGCGTGATGTGCGAAATGCCCCATGACTCCGCCATGGATGGAGGAATTTCCTGAGGGGGGGGGGGGTCAGGTGTTGGTCAGCGTAGCATATGTCTAGGAACACCCCCCCCCCCCCTCCCCTTCTTTTTACGCCCTAAATTTTACACATGCAGAAATCAAGAGGGGGGTCAGGAAATCCGCTCCTGTGTACGAGCATGTTTTCAAACTCGTTGTAAGGAAGACTGACTTGATGCAAGCTCTGCATGTGGTGTTGTGCCTCAAAACGTTGCACCGTGTCTCTTTTGGTGGTCACAATTGGTTGATTAATCGGCCGATCTTGGCTCAGGCAACGCTCCATCTCATCAGCCTGCCCGTGCCCAGTGTTAGCGTTGAGAGAGCATTTTTGAAGCTCAGGGTCATATTAACAGTAAATAGAGAGTGTGAATCAACGAGAACATGCGAAAGTATGTGTGTGTGTACTATAATAAGATCATGTAATCCGGATGTGCAGAAGGTAAAGTTCCATGTTTTTTGGGCATAGGCTTCATATATAACTTGCCTCTACTTCTGTTTTTTTTTTTTTTTGTTTCTTTTACAGTTGCACACATTTGCCAAATAAAGTGTCAATTTCTTTTTCAATGCATCTGTGCCGCTATTTTTTGAGTGATCACAAATATCAGAGCTACAAGGATCATCATATCCTGTGTACGTTGGTGTTTATTTTATATTCACCGAAAAAAGCCAATAAAATTTTGTGGAAATAAATATACGTAAAAAAACAAACAGAAAATATGATTTTAAAATAAACACTGCAAAAAGCACGCCGAATTTTGAGAAAATAGGAACCGAAAACGCGGAACCCTAATTATACGTAAGACAGTCTACAAACACGAGGCACAGCACTATCAGAGGTTCGAATGCCGCATGCCAGGTTTTCTCCTTGAACACATTGCCACGCAGCATTTGATGCACGGATCTCGTGGTGACACACGTTCGAATCTGTATGCAGACTGCCTTTTGTATGATGTATTCGTGGCGAGAAGCTCGCTTGGAGCACTTGTTTTCTCCAATGTGGGTAGTGCACATACTACCCATGAATTATGTTGCAGTATTAATAGTACATCGAAGCTTGGCATTGCACCTGCTCGCACAAGCGGAGGAAGTTGAAGCATTCTTACTCGTTACTCTGGGTTGTGAAAAATTTTACCAGATAGCGATACCGAAACTTCTTGCAGCAAATCGGCAGTGCGACCCCGGCTTTAGGGTGATGAGGGTATTGTGGTGTCTGCACTGTGCCTGGCAACTAGTGCTCTAAAAGCGAGCTGCGCAGGGTGCCGTGAAGCTCCAGAAGAGCAGCGTTCACACTGATGTATCTGTGTACGAGGCAAATAATGCAGGACACCGTTGCGGTTTTTGTGTATTTTCAACGCTATCAACCTGCGCCATGGTTACTAGAAGGCCATTTTAGTGCACAGTGTGAATGCAGGCTACCTTACGGTGCAAGACTGCAGACTGTATATCACGTTGCGCCTTCGAAGCATGATTTTCAGCGCACGACAGGGGTGTTGCTGTACCGCGTTACCGGAGCCTTTGAAGCGCACGCCCGGGTGATTGCGGCATGCGGAACTCAATAACGGTCACTGTATATTACCACCTGTGTATGTTATTCGTACTGTCGTGACCTACCTCGGCAAAACTGCCCATTCTAAGTACTCGTCACGAACTGCTGGCTTGCACAGATGCCCCTATGAATGCTGCGAGCATTCTTCATTTGCCTTTATAATTACCTGAAGGCGGGTACACACAGTCTGTCTTTAGAAAGTACTTTCATGAAACAAACAGTCCTGATCCTTTTAACAGCCTTTCAGCAAGTAAAATGCGAACCCATCCAAAGTGTCAATCGCTCGACACACCGTTGAGCAAGCACCTTTCTTTTACCTTCGGGAAACAACAGACTTTTTGTAGATCGTACCCAAGAGCTTTGCACTAGTGCTAGCATGACCTTTTGTCATTGATTGAGCACAAATTGAGCCGACAACCACAAGACCCGATATCCACAGCGTATGCGATCTACTAAGTCTCCAACTAAATGAGACGTCCCAGTCCCTTGGTGCAAAGTTGTTATGAGGCAGAACAGAATTATTATTTTAGTGAACTCACTTTTTTGTTAAAACTGCATAATGCACAAACATGCTGTCCAAAAACCATGCGGTAACAGCAGCACTTAGAACGACACTCCCTGCCACCGTTTCCGCTCCTCTGGTTCTTTGTTCATCAGCAAGAGGGCGAGTGGGAGTTGCAAATACGACAAATGCTTTCAGCTTCAGTACAGAAATTTAAGGCAAAAGACTAGCACCAGGTTTATCCATAACATACACGACAAAACCTTGATGATGTAACAAAGCAAATGAAAAACACAAATATTTCTTCCTACCTCGCATCATTTGCACATGAAACATTTTAACATGGAGTATCACCACTCGGTGATTGACGACTGCTCTTATCAGAATGATTCAAGTGACTCCTTTTGAGTGTTGCTTTTGTATTAGACAGCCTTGTACAGCACTGTCAAAGGGTAAAATAGTTGAGAGGAATGGTGTTTGATGTTGCTATCAGTAGCAAAAACCTAGTGCAAACATTCTCTCAAAAAGCAATTCATTCACTCATCATAACTGGAATCACCACAAAGTTCCAGAAAGCCTGAGAAGGGGGGTGGTTTGTTTTGAGTTTACATGTTTATGCCCTGTCCTTTCATTGCCTCCGCATACAATGTTTCTACAGCTTAGCAACATTGTATAGATCAGGGGACTCAAACACGCAGACCACAAGCCGCGGCTCGCTGGGATGCGGCCTGCAGGCTACGAGCACTGGTTCCCATGTCTTAGGCGCTAGAAATGACATGTGCCACAGTGATCTCATCTTGTCGGTTCATTTTCGCTCAAAAAGTAGCTCTGCTATTTTCACATATTTTATACTTATCTGTGTTCCTCTGCCCTTTGTTTCGCATTGTTTTTTGCTTCCCAGCTTTTTACTTTGTGCAACGATTCCCTACTAGGTTGCAAGAAACTCTCGATCAGCGGGAGCAACCGCCAAAAGATAAAGCTACGAGCTTGGGATTCTGGCCTTCAAAAAAAATATCGCCATTAAAATACAATTTTGTATTTTGTATTCCTGAAATTGTCAGGAAAGCAAGAATTGTTAAAGTAACTGACTGTTTTTGAGACATATACTGAGCTTGGCTAATTCCTGAGTGAGTTGAACAATGGGAACGACACTACTTTCTCTCTAGTTCCATTCAAAGTGCCAGCACGTTGGCGGGGCGGTAACATTTTAATTCTTGTTATCACATCAGGTCATGGCCCAAACTAGTCATATAAACAAATCAAATCTAAAGATGTCACTGGCAAAACTGTTAGTTCATAAAAAGCATAGAGCACAAGATCTCCTCTCTGTAAAATCTCTTGACCCCCCCCTTCCCCCCCCCCCTTATCTTACGTTGGCCCTCAACGTTTCCGGTGTGGGCTATTTGGCCCTTACACTCAAATGAGCTTCAGACCACCGGTATAGACCAAGACAAACTGCCAACATGATGGCATACTGGCATCATAATAGATCCCACCGTACATCAGCCCTGGGGTAAGCCCCACAACAACTCTGGGCACCTCACACAATCTTCTAACTACCTTTGACTTAAACTATGCGATATGTTGTGTGTCTACTTCTAGAGTGAGCACATGCCTGTTTGGAGAGTGAAGCAGACTGCTTGAAAGAGCTAAGCTTCTTGCCGAAAATTCCGGACACAACTGTGGGACTTTCTAAAAGATCAGTGTTTCGAGTTCTGCATACCAGCTCATCACTCAGTTAACGCGGACACTCTACTACAAAATGTTGAATATTATGGTACATATTGCAACGTGCTGAATGCAAGAGTCAGCAAACTAATTGCTGAAAGAATACAGGCAAGGCACACAAACTTCGCCTGCCGTGACCTAGAGTCAATTAACAACTGAGTATTCCAGTCCCGTTGTGTCTGAACGGGATAAGGAATGGGGTCCAGCAACTGGCTGCTTCCAGACTATAGTTGTCAGTCAAGTCAGCCAAATTGACCCCGCCCAAGACATTCAATGCTACACCCTTTTGTTCCCTTTGAATGTGAGGTATGTTATTTGTTTTCTTTTAGAGCGATGCATTTTCTACCTTTGCTTGAAGACAAGCTGCTCGCACTGTACAACCTGGCCCCTTCGTTGGACTCGTAACTCCTAAGAGGTGTTGGCCAAGACACTTCTAAGTGTTTGCAAATCAGACTTCTTATACTAAAAGGTCTTATTCGGTGGTTTCACTTCGATGATAGTTGTCCTTTCAATTGACAGTGAGTTTCGGTGCCTCTAGAATATTTGGCGACTCCATCTTGCACCGCCCAGATGCGGTGACTTTGTTATCGTAAATCAGATGCAGCCAGGAGAGAATACAGAATACAAAAGGCTTTATGCAACAGGCATACTCAAATTCTGTAAGGAAATTGGACCTTGCTCACAACAGCATACATGAACATCTGGTTTTTAGAACTCAAACTGAAAAACTAGCACAAATCTCACACCACTGTTCCCGATTCCCTCATCTCAAAACAAAGGTAAAACTCACCACAAACTTCCTCTTGAGTCCTGGCTCCTGGCGGAAGTACACCAGGGCTTCGCTGGGAAACCTCAGCAGTGGGGACACTGCCAGCTCAGCACTGACCGGTTCCTCGCAGTTCTCGTAGAGCGTGACTCGCTCCGGCGTCACCGTCACCCCAACCCAAACCCAACCTAACGACTTCTTCTTAGTTGCGCCGGCAGAGGCAAGTTTGAACTTGACGTGCCGCACGTTTGCCGAGTTCAGCTGGAAGCCTTCCACGTCTACTGTCTGCTCCAACTCCTCGGCACCGTCTGCAAGACCGTACCGTGGTCCGTCTCCAAAGTCCAGCTTCGGAACTTCCGACACCGAAGTTCCTGGCTTCCTCACTTCGTCAGGCACGGTGTACGAGAGGACGAACCGCCGAGTCCTGAAGTTGATGGCGACCTGCAGCAGCGGAGACATCTTCCCTGGAAGGTGGACGCTGAACAAGGTGGCCACGGTTCGGCGGTTAGGCTTAGCGACAAAAATGGCCGACAGGGCATTGCTGGAGACGAGGTGGTCCCTGAACTTCTCTTCGGGTTCCAGCGGAATCTGGACTACGTTGAGACCGGAGAATAGTTTCCAGGCCGGCAAGTCAGCAATAGGACCCGCCGTTTGGCCGACGCCTTTCTGCGAGTCGCTGATGTTGAGCATCTTGAGCAGGTCGAGCTCTGCATGAGAGCAGACAATTTCTGAGAATCCATGCAAATCATATCAAAAGGTATACTAAACCAATCACAAGGAGACATGCACTTTTGTAATGTTGTTTCCTGTGAATTCAGGGAAAAGGAGGGCAAGCTTCCGAAATAGTAGCAGCGATACAATTAGAGAGGGTTGAGACGAGAACTGCGGCCCGAAGCATAAGGTCAGCCCTGGTCCGATCTTCTAATGGCTTGCCAGGTTGCCGAGGCTGTTCAATGTACTCAATTTCTCCAATACTGAACATATTTTTGCACAGCCAAAACACCATAGATAAATGTCTATACGATTTATATTTATTTAAATTAATTTTATTGCTGCAAATACTGGTCACTTCGAGGTTGGCACTTGTCCACCTTCTCGGCAGACTCCCCTTGAACCAAACGCCCCCGCACCACCTGCATGGCAGCAACTCCATACTCCGCTGAACCACTTTTTGGGAGTGCCTCACATCCATGCCTGGACAGCCAATTCCAGCTTATTAATGATTGAAAAATGACATCCTTGGAGGGGTTTTTTCATGCCACTTGTAATGTGATGACCACTAAGGTTATGGCAAGCCCATACCCATGCACGAACAAACGTCCGACTGGCCGTGACATGCCAAAAAGACAACTGAATTCGATCAGACAACGGAAATCACGGCCTCATGTGAATGCATACGACGCAATGATTGACCAGCGCATGATGGGGTTTGGCTGTCTTTCTGACATGTCATGGGACCAGTCGGGCATTTGATTGTGCTTGAAATGGACTGACCGGCCCCCAGTGGTTATCTGTTGGGTGGCATAAAAAGATTTAAACAAAAGTCTGTAAAGACATTATTTTGCGGTCATTAATAAGATGGAAACAGCTGTCCAGGTGTGGGTCTGAGGCTCCCCCAAAAAGTGGTTCCAGCAGGGCACATAGAGGCTGCCACATACATCTGGCTCCTGGGGGATTTTGTCGACAACGTGGACATATGTGCCGACCTGCAAGTGACAGGTATTTGTAGTAAAAAATTAAGAGTAAATAAATATGGCATGTTCCTCGTAGTTGCACAGTTCCTTTCACACAGATACTAACTGGGTCGGTGTGTAGAACACCAGAGTAATTGTTTTACAATCAACGTCTCCGGTTAGGCATTGTCTGTTGCTTCTAAGATGCATTACCATATTTGTCTTGTTAACCTCAGGGCAACTTTCGGATCCTCCTCCCGTGATGTCGAAGTAGGAGTCTGACCAAATTTACGTTAGGTTCCTCGAACGAAAGAACCGAAGTAAGCAGTCGGCTGACACTGCAAACCTGACATACTGTAAACAAACAAAGAGAACAACCCACTGATGACGTGGTTATGTCGATGTATGCTACAAATCATCCGGTATGCTACAAATCATCCGAAGATAGGCCCAGCGCATCGAAGTCAGGCGAAATTATTAGACTAAATTCTATACTGCACACAAACAAAAATGGAGAGGGTAAGCAAGCGAAGCCTGCTCAATTTTGGCTTTCTAATTCTGTCTTCGGTTCAATATGTTGGCTTCAAAAGCGGGGACGCTCCAACGAAGGATAAAACTCACCGATAGCATCCTCTTCAAGTCGACTTCCGAGCTCGGTCGCATCCGCATTTGCAACCGCGTCGACGACACACCACAAGACGCAGCTGACGGCCAAAACGTTTCGGAAATTCACCAGCATCGTGATTTAGCTCCGATTGTCGCGTGAATCAATTGCACGGAAGCACCGTAAACTAAAGAAAAAGAACATACGGCGGAAATGAACCAATTTCGCTGCAATAAACGACGGAGCCAAACCCGTTGAAGCGGTAGGCCGCTAGTCCCGGATTATATCAGCCGCGAAGTACGCATCGAGATTTGCTTGATCCAGGAGGGATTAGCCGAAGTTAAGAGTCTCGATTTGTACTTGCGGCCGCACATAGACCCTGGGCTCGCGCTGGGGCCCCATGTGGAGCGTCCGATCTCGTTGGGCGACGCACGCAGGAAGGATTTGGAAATTGCTTCGCGTGAAAACGGAAAGACGGGGGAGACTGAAGAAAAAATCGACGCGCCGCCAGCGAGCGAACGGCGTCGACTGCGCATGCGCGCTCCTGAAGGCGACGGCCGCGCCAGCGCTCGCAATCGGCTGCGGTGGAAATGCAAAACGAAAAGCAAACGTGAAAAATGAGCCGGGCGGCGGGCGCACCCGCTGAAATCGGCCGCACATGGTGTTAGATTTTTGTTTTTGTTCTTATTTTCTTTGGCATGACTTTGAGGACAACGCTGACGGCATGGTCTAAGAGGCGTGCATATTTCGGATATATTTAGGGCAGCACTGTAGTCTGACTGAAGCCCATCATAATCATAATCGATTACATATTTTGTGGTGTCGATGAATGACGTCGTTATACAATCGGGGTTATGAAACTAATTAAGACGGTGTAATTAACAAAGGTAGTAGCAGTAAAACTCTATAACGAATAAATATTGTAAATTCAAAATAACTAACATAAAGCGCACAGCAATTGATATTTAGTGTGGGCAGGGTGTCACAAACGAAAATTTAGTCTTTTTTACCGCAAAAATAAACTAGGCACCGCCGAACGCTCATTCTCCACCCAATGGCAGAGCTAGAGGTCACAACCAGATGCCAAAGTTTCAGCCCGATCCGACAACTTAATCAAAAGTTATAAGTGATTTTCTGAAATTTTCAATGGGAAAATGGCGGCCGACGGAGTTTTCAAACACATGGGGTTCTATGGCACCACAAACCGAAACCGGGCAGAAATGGACTCCATTTTCCCATTGAAATTTTCAGAAAATCACATAACTTTTGAATAAGGTATCAGATCGGGCTGAGACTTTGGCATCTGGTTGTGACCTCTAGCTCTACCTTTGGGCGGAGAATGAGCGTTCGGCGATGCCTAGTTTATTTTTGCGGTAAAAAAAGGCCGTGTAAATTTTCTTTTGTGACACCCTGTATAACTTTCTTTCACCAGCTCGTATGTGCTCTATCCCCGTTTTGAATAAGTTAATCCTTCTCATGCGGAACCCAAAAGCTTTTTTGCAGTTTCCAATCGAAATTAATTCTTGTCCTCTGGGCGATGCCGTCATTGAGCCGAGTGTCCCCAGACGGAGTTCTTAGCCACCGGCTGAGAGTGACACCATGGCACGACCAGCGCCCTCTAGACACAGCCGTCGTGTTCAACCTCAGGACGATACAGTGCGTTCCCGACACAGCCGTCATAACCGTCAGGTAAAAAATGGGAAGTGACGTTTGATTGGGACAGCTCCTGCCATGGACTTCTTTCTGACGCCCATTGTACCTCCTTTTTTTTTTTTTTTTTTTTTTTTTTTTTTTTTTTTGTATGTACGCACGCAAAAATTTGATAAGAAAAAAGAAAAAAAAAAAAAGAGAGACAAACGAAAAAGAGCGTTCCGATCTCGGGCCAAAACTTTAACCCAATCAATCATGTCTCGCTTTCGGAATGACGCAAAAGCGCAGTAAGCAGCAGAACTATGGTAGAATTCCAGACCTGAAGTGAGCTCGTCTCACGGAAGAAAACAAGCGAATATAATAAAGTCAAATGCACGTGGAGTGAGAAACAAAACAAAGTAGAAAACAAAATAAAAAAGTAAAAATAAAGTTTGGACGTTTTATAGCTTCTCTGCGTGTCTCTCTTCTGTTTATTGTTTTTTTTTTTTTTTGTTTCCTCGTCTGCTGCCGAATGTTGCAGACGATAGATTTCTCCCGAGGCAATCGTCTTGGAGGAAATTGAACAAAAAAGCTAAAAAAAAAGAAAGAAAGACGGAGATACTAAACTATAGCATACGACGCACAAGCACACATCACATAGGGGGGGGGGGGGGGGGGTCCAGCTAAGAAAACTAGGCAACGAATGGACGAGACCGAAGAAAGCATAGAGTCGTTCCAAGGCAAACAGACCGGCGAATCAAAGACGTGTCCCTAATCCAATATATTGCAGCTCGTATTGGAGCAAATTGAGTTCAGCCCGGCACTCTTTCTGTCACCGCCCTGACACGGTTTCTCGTCTCCCATGCGCCTGTTACTTTTGATATAATTTGCAAGGAAAAAGAAATTGCCGACGGTTGCATACAGCACAGATAAAATAAGCACGGAATAAAAACAATAAAAAACGAAACGTCTATTCCTTTCTCTGGGCAATTCCCCTTTCAAAGGCGCCTCTCGTCCACAGATTTTAGCTATAAAACAAACAAACACGCACACGCACGCGCACAGATACACACGAGCTCGAGCGCACACACACAGAAAAACAACGCACAAAAGGCTATAGCGTTTATACACCAACCTCTTTCAAGCCTCGTCAGGGACACGCTTTCCCTCTTCTTTTCGGCGTACCTTATGTTTGGTGGCTTAACCCCCATGGAACGTATTTTCGCTCACGTAGATTAGAATGTACGTGTTTGACTTTAAATCACTTTTCCTTTTCTCTTCCTACTTTAGCCTGTCCGTCCCTCGCCTCTCAAGCGTGGATTGAGTGGGAACGCTACCGCGTAAACCGCGCTGCCGTTTAGTTGAACGACTCCATAAAACGGATATTTTCCGTTTTACTTTTTTCGAAAGGAGACACTCAACGCGATTGGACGCGGCGGCGTCAACTTCAACACAACGTTTTAGCGTAGCGGTAGCGCGATACAAAGGAGTTTTAGTAGAAGGTTCTTTGAGCATTCATCGTATCGTTATCACGTGATGTCATCGGAGGTATCGAGACAATAGGGAGTTTTAGGGAACCGTTTTTGAAGATCCGATACGGTACGGAGGGTCCTCATGTACGAACTGCGCATGCGCTATCAATCAATTAATTGAACACAATTTGATCTTATGAACAGAAGCAAGGGAAAATGTGCAAGTAGGCATAATTTCCAACAAAAAGCAACAGATCTTCAACAATTATACGATAACAAAAAAAAAAAAAAACGCATTCAGCCGGAGACAAGCAAATGCAGACAAACTCCTATATAAAAGGCAACATTAAGAGATGAACAAACGGAACTAAAAGACGAGTGTGTAAGCGCGCCTGTTACATTAAAAAAAGAAAGAAAGAAAGAAAGACGGACACTGAGAGTTTGCACGAAGCTCGGCCCTAAAAAAAAAAAGTGTTTCGTCGTACAGATGATTGCTTAACATCTGCCTTGCCCTTAAGGTTTATTCTGCGGGTGAGATCTCTGTGGCCATGCAAAAGTGCAACATGATTTAAGTGGGCTTGTCCCATGTTTGACCTCTAATACATTTTTATGCGACGGAGAGAGGAAAACGGTCTTTCTGGACGTGCATCATGTGACAAGAATAGTCAATGCAATTTTAACCAGCTTAGCCATTTCCCGCAAGAAGGCCCTTAACTCTTCGCAGTTAGCGATCGAGAATACATCTATAACACCCTGAAATCTGCTGATAGGTATACACCTTTGCTTCGCAATATCAGTGGGCATATCGCGGTGCAGCTGAAGGCGTCCAGGCTCAAGGTCTGTTCCGTAAAACTCACAGAGGTATCTGCTGTCTTCTTCATCCGTTACAAAGCACTCAATGTGAACGCCTTGTAACAGCGAAGATTGTACCACGTCAACTGCCTCATAGAACCGCTGTCGATACATGTCATCAAAGAAAGGTGTACATATCCATTACCATATCGGCGAGGAGTCTTTGTTTCTCTTTGCTATGGAGCAGATGGTTCGTCAACGTCAAGCTCAGCTGCCCCTGCATATGTCTCGTTCCAGAACGGAGAAAACCCTTTCCTAAGTTCGACTAAACTCTCCCTAACGACTGTTATCATTTTCTCTGTTCGGTCAAATCTCAATGTCGGCATCTGCAATGCGATATTTAGTTTCCAACAGCGAAAACATTAGGAAGAGCAGTTTCAGCGTGAATTATGCGCCGAATTTCGACAACCCTTGCAGGAATCCGCTCGCCTTTGCCCCAGTGTCATTCCGCCTATCAGATATTAGGTGGTTGAAAAATACCATCAGCTCTCTATAATTAAGAAGGACTGACCGGAAAGAAGCAGCCCTGAGAGTCCATCTTGTGGGACACAATTTTCTCAAATTTGTATTTTCGCCTTCCTGTTGCATGCGCTTGAAAGAAACCGACACTTTTGGGGGAGAACGTTACAAAGCTTATGATATCAGTTATCATGCGCGCAAGTCACGACCCGTGTTCACGTTGGGGCTCAAGTCCTGCGACACAAGATTAAGGACAAATGATATACTGTGGACGTACAGCACTCGGGGTTTTTCCTGTTGCATGAGCGCTTGGAGCCCATTGTGCTGGCCCCTCATGTTTGCGGCACCATGCATCGTAACATTGCCCACGGCACATGTCAATCGGCAAGCTAAAACGGCAGAGTGTGTCTTTGAGAATGGCGAAGGGTGTGGTCGCTTTAGTGACCTGCTGCGTTATTAAAACCACAAAATAACTCGAAGTTATCTTTAACAATTCTAAAGCAAACCGATACCTGCTCTTCGACCGACATATCCGTTGTCTCATCCCTTATCACGGCAAAATGCCTTGTTTTGCGGACTTTGTTTGTCAACTAGCAAAGAACATCATGAGCCATAATTTCTAACAGTCCGTTCAAAATTTCAGGAGAAAGCCATTTGTACCCAGAACGGCAAAGCCAAGATTGTAGCGCTGGTATGTCATTTGCGCGTAGTTCTAGGAGCCTGCCTTACATTTCTTTCTCCATCATCATGGCCACGTACCGCTAGGCTTTGACAGGCCAAGCAGTGCAACGAAAATACTACGGCTAGAAGTGGCTTTCTAGCGTGCTTCATATTCTTTTGCTTTCCTTTAAAACACCAAGAAGCAACCTTTACACCCTTACCTACCTACAGATGATTTAGAGGCTAAGGCTGCCCGATGGAAATTGGGGTCCTCGTGGCTTCCTAATGAGGTATTTCTCCACTGTTATTTCTTAAACACCTTAAAAATGAAGAAAAAAAAAAGAAAAAAACAACAGGGTAATGCTGGCATTGATGATTCACGTACAGTCTTAACAACACCCCCCCCCAAAAAAACAACAACCTAGGCTTAGTTCTTGATTTGATGGTCGTTGCGTGCAACATAAACTTAGTCAA